ACCCACACCCACACCCACACCCACACCCACACCCACACCCACACCCACACCCACACCCACACCCACACCCACATCCACACCCCACCCTAATTGGTTTCAACTGATTTCAAATGATTTCAAATTGATTTCAGCTATTCAAATCAGTTTGTTCCCCCTAGTGTGTGGTAAATTATTTAAACATGGAATGATATTAGCGGATTGTGCAACGACCACGAGTGACAAGAAATTTATATTTCTCATAAGGGATTTCTTGGAGTGAGAGGAAGGTTGTATTTTTATTTGAGTCGTATATTACATCAATCAAGTCGATACAAAAAGTTACTCACAAGAAATGATAAAGACGCAGACGTAGATCGATAAACAAGAAGACAGCTAAAGCCAGTAGGAATCCGCAAAGAAACAATTACATACTTAAGGTGAAAAATGACATACTAATACAATACATAAATGATATATGTGTATGTCAGACATATGAGTCATTGATATTTTGTTTAGGCTTCGGTCTGTACTGATCCGATTTAGTGATGACATCATCCAAGAACTGACTACCGATATTCGAAAATTGTATTATTGCATGAGACAACAACAAGATGTGAACTTTGGTAGTACGACGAACCGAAATAAATCAAGAGTAACAACGACTGAGGCTCAACATGAGATACTAAGCATTTCAGAGCAATGTGATATATTGCATACCATTCTCGTTTTTGCTACATGTTTGCTTAAAGAAAATCGATCAAAAATACACATATTTGATGTTGATGCAGCTACACCTTTCCATGCCAAAGTTTATGAAGCACTCATTCAGGGTAAGTAAGAATAAACTCACTATCTAAGAGAAAAGATGACATGGTGACATATCTTCTAATATGTTTGTTCAGCTCGAGAAAATATGTCGACTCACCAAACGACGATGAATGCCGATGAACAACTCAATTTGGCTCTGCGTTTCAGTTGTGGTGATGTAGGCACAAACAATAATTATTTGGCATCGATCATGACTACTATCGATTGGAAAGATACAACAAAAGTATGCATTATGTTGTTTATTTTTTTTTAAGAGAAAGTATCAATTGTGCGCATGAAACGTATAGCTGCAGCGAAAACGCAAAAACTTCCTGGACGCTCTCAGCAAAAACTCAAACAGATTCGTAGAAAATTTCCTCAAACTGGGTGTTGATTTGGCTCACTTGTTGCGTCATGTAGAGACCAAGACAAATTCTAAGAATGATCGAAACTGGCCAGACGATTTAGCATATTTGGCCGAGCTTTATGATGAGAAGTTGCGCCGAAATGTAAGTTAACACACATATTATCATTACCACGCGAATTCGTCTTTATAGCCAGATCCACTCTATCTGCTTGACAAGGTCAATACAAAACTCAGCTATAAGTCAGAAGTGCATCTGACACAAGTGCTTGAACAAGTCATAGGTGATTTTATGAAACCAATCTATGCACCAAAAGATCACTCATCGCGTCGGTTTTGTTTCTGGCAGCGACATAATTCTGTATCTGAATCTTTTCGCTCGTCCAACATCATGCCATCAAATTCTGTCGAATATGTTTATCGTAATTTATTTTTGTGGTGCGTATTGACACATCGACTAGAAACGGCACGACTTTTTCTTGACTATATGGAAACACGTATTTGCTCGGCGTTAATTGCATCAAAAATTCTCCGAGCATTGTCAAAATATGCTCCTGATCGTGATACACATGACATACTTAAAAATGAAGCATCTGATTTTGAAACATACGCTATTGAATGCATACGATGTTGTTATCACTATGATCGGGAACAAGCATGTGAACTCGTAATACGTCGTATCAAATTATATGGCAATGTAACATGTTTACAAATAGCCTTGGCTGCTGATGCCAAAAAGTTTTTGCATGAAGACGCTTGCTATGCGCTATTGACCAATATCTGGTTTGATAAGGTCGATCCTATTCAAGATCGAACCCAGTTAGCAGTGAATTTGATCACTTTCGGCATATCTCAATTTGTCAAATCCGTGTGCACCAGGTGTTCGAATAAAGCGAATTCCAAACAGGTCTCCTTTCATATGTCATACTCAAGTCGAATTTGCTTTTTCATTCTTTACGATTAGATTATTCAACGTCCTCCATCAAAAAGACCGTAAGTTTTTGTGCGTCAAATTTATTAAACTTTGTCAGGTGATTGTGAGTACGAACATGTGTTTAAAGATTAAAACAGTACGGCATCGACTACACAGACGATTATGATATACATGCAACGCCATTGCAACATTTCTTTCATTTTCACGATTCACCTATTGTCAAGTATTGCTATAACTGTGTATGTATCGGTGAACATGCCCCGTAATGTTTATTTAACATAATTGTTCTCATGTTTTATACATACAGATTGGCTACATTATCTTTCTGACCTTCTTCAGTTATTTCATGCTCTATAAATTCGATCCAATTACCACAGATAACATCCTGCCAATACATTGGACCGAACTATTGACTATCATAATTGTAACTAGTATGCTCGTTGAAGATATGCGACAGGTAGTGGACATAGGTTTTTCTTCATTTACTTATATGTTCATATCAAAACTCGATACATAGTTTTTTTTACAAGACAATCGGACGTTCAAGGGCAAAGTGTTCACATACTTTGATTTAACAAACAGATTTTCCAACTTGACTCTTGTCGTGCCTGCTTATGTACTCTTCTATACCGGCGTTATACTTCGCTTCGAGATAAGAGATGAAGTAAGCTTTGGCATGGTCAGGTATAGTAACTCCTTTCACATTGTATAGGTCTCTGATTATTGAGAGTTTTCTGTTCTGCCACTAGAATTGTCATGGCTTATGATCTTGAGCTCTGGTTTATTCGTTCTCTTGTATTTATTGGTATTATCGAGAATCTCGGCCCAAAACTTGTGATGATCAGAAAGATGGTGAGTTTGTGAAGTCGTTTGTACAACAATACTGTTTTTCTGTTCATATAAATTTTTATTTTTTGCCTAGTGTAGACAAATGATTTACTTTTCTTCATTTTTCTCATCGCTATCGTCATACTTGGCTACGGTATTACATCGCGTGCGATGATCTATTACGGCACCTTTGACTTTGACGGTCGACAATTCTTTCAGAATGTTGTCTATCCAGTCTACTACTTTATCTTTGGTAGTTTTGACGACGAGAAAACTTCGTTAGAAAGTAAATAGGGGAGTAAGCTTTTGAATGAAAACAAGACATTTTTTGCATAATTCAAGAAACGCCAAATGCAAGCACAACAATAGCCACCCAAATTATGTTTGCATTCCATATGCTGTTTGTCAATATTCTACTCCTCAATTTGCTCACTGCCATGTTTACGTACGTATAGTTCGAGATTTCCAATATTTAATTGATAGTAACTTATAGGTTTACAACAACAATTGTTCAAGAGCAAGCCAGTTATATTTGGTCATATGAACGATGTGCTCTCATACGTGACTACTATAATCGACCACCATTATTTCCTCCATTTATCATTTTAACTCATATTTTTCTACTTGCTCGATGGATATGGTGCATGTGTCTGAGGAACAATAACAAAAACAATCGACACCGCAAATGCTTCAGTACATGCCTCCTTCTTTGCTTATTATACTACGTATATATGTGTTCTACTTATCAGAGATAATTGGCAAAACGGATAATGTGGACGATGCATGGTCTCAATTTGAAAGTTTTGCTACTATCGATTATGTTCGCCGGTTGCAAAGCCATAGACAAGCTGTCGCTTCGCCTACTATGTCCGCACCTGATACTCACGCGTATGTCTACCTAAAACCTCTGTATACTATATATATATTTTCACAAAGATCTGATTTATCGGCTCAAATGAAGATCCAAGATCATAGTACACTAATGTCTACATCCAACATGCATCGTATACAGGAAGAATTAGTAAGTGTGCGCGATGAAACAAGCACAAAATTAGGTTCGATGGACACTACAATCAACGATTTACGTTGCCGATTTGACAGCGTTGATAGTGAATTCAAAATGATGATGGCACAGATGAAAAGTGTGCGTATATGACAGCGAATACATATGTTGTAGGTCGTGTGCATGCATCATTTTTAGATCAATAAATCCCTCGATTGGATTATGAACGCAATGTCTCGTGTCAAAATGTCTAAAACGCCACCACCATTGCATGAGACACTTACATCAAGTCAGTATTCACCGATAAGTAAAGCTTTGAATTCACATTTGCCTGCATAGTGTCGACGTCTGCATCAGATGAGAATCCTTTGATTTCTTATGAAATATCCGTACAAACGGGTGATCGAATGGGCGCTGGTACGCATGGGCCAGTATTTTTGACTATGTACGGAGATCAAGGAATATCAACTAAAATTGAGCTTACAGATGAATCATCTACAGAATTTGAACGCGCGCAAGTATATATTCTGCATTTATGATCGGAAATCAGTTTCTCTTGCACTTCGATATGCTTCATATTTATTTTAGTTAACAAAATTCCGTTGTAAATTTCCCAGTATTGGTCAGTTAGAGCAGATCGAACTTATACATGGATCCGTTGACCAGCGCTGGTATTTACAGGAAATAACTATTGATAATACAGCAACAAAGGAGCGGTTAGTGTTAGGGAATGTAGACTATGGATTTGAAGCATAACTTTTTTCTTCTATAGCTATAAATGTGTCTTCGCCAATTGGTTTGACGAAAATGATTCCAAAAAAATACCTGTAAAGAAAATTACAAACACCAGTAAGAAACGCATGTCGACTCAGACAACTTTGAGAGAACACACGTCGATTGATATGGAAATGTTATCGTCGAATATTCAAGATCAGTAGATACTTTCTTACTGAAATAAATCCCCCTTCGTATAAAATAGAGCAATGCAAAAAAGGACAATTATTGCTATTGATATTTTTATATTTATTTTTCTACACACATGATTATAATCCGACATCTTCGTTATATCAAAGTTATGATTTCATAAGCTGTGAGTGAAGAGGATGGATCTTGGTTTCTTGTTATGTATGTCAGCATTCATTAAACAAGTAGCGCTCATTGGATGCTGATTCACTTAGCCCTAGAATGAATAAGTGTGACACATGTTCGATATTTGTTCAAATCAAGCATTTTGAATTGACAACAAAAGCGATGTAGATAATTTTTTTCTCTACTTCGAATGAAAAAGAGTAGTCGATTATTCTTATAAAGATATAATCTATCTTTTGCCAATATACTCTCTCGAGAAATATAAAGTTTTTTTTCTTTTGTAAAATTTTTTTCTTGACTATCGGGTGGCCCATAAAGAATGAGGGTTGTAGTATTTCATGGATATCTCGGAAACTATTCACAATTTACCAATATTTTTTTCCCAATTGAAAGAGAATTTTCTTCTCTACAAATTCATAAGAACACATATTGTACTATTATACAATTTTCTGGTGCGAAAGTATGAAGAGTAAAGAGCTCCAAAATCTAGTACTTTCAAAATACAAAGCTGGACAATCTTGTATTAAGATCCATGAGGATCTTCATGGTTC